CCCCCAGAGATATTGCAACGTGACTACCAAAGAAAGTGACTCAAATAATTGAAGCTCACAATTAAACGGAGATGCTGAGTAATTAGCAAGACAACTTCTCAATTTAAGAAGATTCATTGAGTGGTTAATAAGATAACAATCCGGCTGCAATGAGGCGAAACCCAACCTTGGCAGTCAAACCGGATACGCCTCGTCTCCAAAGGATTTCCTCCTTTTGAGGGGATGCAACATCAGAACCGGATGCTGTACGCCCTTCCTTTTCCACAGTGTGTATTCATTAGTTATGTGGTAAAGCCGTAAGCATCTTTCACTAGATGCCATTCAGATTTTTCTGGCCAGAGATTCTTTGAATTGTGAGGGAGTGGTCAGGGTAAAAGGGTCTTGTCAAACTGACCATAGAGTTCTATTCACAATGGGTGCGTCCTCACAGTAAAAATCTTCCAAAGGTTCCCTATGAAGCCACCTCACCTTTGATCTCTGAACTGTGTGTTCAGTACAGCATTTATTTAAGATTTAGGGTCCTCTGTAACAAACAATGATTTTCCTTTACCCATCGATTTCATGGATAATTTTAGTCAGTTCCTCACAAAAGGTGTTGCAGTGAAAAGAAATAAATTTCAGAATAAAATGCGTTTACTTTCACTCACTTTTTAACCTCTACAGATTCATTCGCCCATTTAAATAGATATTTATCTATTGAATATAAAACCAAAATAAATAAAATAAAAAATAAATAAATGCTATTATTTTATTATTTATTACTGGCATAAGTGAATTCCACACCGTAGTTCATTATGTTAAACAGTCGGTTGTCACCACTTATTGCTTATAAAATTCGATGCAGAGAGTATTTTTCGTTTAAAGCTAAAAGCTAAATCAAAATAGAATTTTTATGTAACCTCTCTCTTCACAATGATATGGCATATGTGAACAATGAACTAACTCGGTAATTTTTATCGCCTGGGTTTTGGTTTATTTATATTTATAAACTAATTATTTATGTAAAGCTGCAATAGAAATTGTTGACGATAAATCACATTTTCAAATTTAGAAAATAATCACAAATAAAGCAGAGAGATGTCACTAAGCCTAGGATTATTTTATAACGTGTAAATAGTACACATAACATGTAATTAGAGACCTCAGCCTATTTTATGGATAATTATTTCATAAACTTTTCGGGGAAATAATTTTTTGCAGTGCTCAAATAAGTACATTTTAAAGTAAACAAAGCATTTTCAGTCGTAGGTCTCCGGAGAGATTAAAAATATATTTCTCGCTATTTTTAAATTATAGTTTTAAAAAGATAATTTCAAAGCATTGAAAGGGAACACTACTATGAAGTAATAACTTGCTTACGTTTTTCTTTTAAATAAACTCATAATTTTTAAATAATAATAGAATTGAACTTGTGAGGAAATTACATAAAATCGGTATTTATTATTTAATCATCAGAAATTATAAAAGAATAAAAAAAATACAGCATCTTAATCGCAAAGGCAACTTCAATAGTAATATGTAATATGCAGGCTGTTAAATTTTTTGTCAAATTTGGTGAAAACAAAATTATTTAGCCTTATAAATGGAGAAAACGGTAATAGAAAAAAGAAGAATACGATAGGGAATTTCTGAAAAGGGAATAAGTCAAACAAAAATTAAATACTATTTTAAAAGTTGCGAAATATATAATCCACCCTTTAGCATTTAACATTTCTTCACAATAGACTAAAAAAACAAACTATAAGCAGATAATGTTTTAAGACTTTAAGGCTAGTATTTTGGCTGTCTACCCATCTTTTTTTAAGCTTCAAAACAACTTGTCGCAAGATAAAATTTGCGACGAATGCTCGATTACATATCAACAGATGGTCTAACTTAAGACTATATTAAAGAATAAATCAGCCTACTTAGTTAGAGTCATCGACTGGTTATAAACGGAGTAAAAAATATTAGGGGGACCGGAAAGTAATGTTGTTTCGGCTCATTAATATGCGTTTGCCTTAAAAACCAATTCATTTTTCTCGATCCATTTTCGATCCGGCATTAAAAGGTTGTTGCTAACGAGAGTGAAAGCATTATTGATTAAAAATAAAAAAACTTGATAACAAATATCAAATGCACCGAAACGAGATTACTTTCCCTAATACACCAGTGACCTTAGGATTTAAAAACTATTTATACTTAAAATAAGGGAGATTTAAAAGCTGGTGTTTGACTTAAGTAGAAGCAGATGGAATTTATGCTTTTACAAACGCATTAAATATTGTTTTCTCACTTCTTCACATTTTTTTCTGGTGTTTGTGTGTGTTCGACGTACAAAGAAGCTGCCAGTGATTAAGTGAAATAGCAGCAGCATAAGTGAAACAGCTGTTAGTGAACTGTATTAAAAATATCTGACTATATTAGCACCGCCAGTCATTATTGGTTCGATTCCTTCTTTGAATTGACCGACAACCGTGTAATGATTCCACAATTCTGATATTCAAATCAATGAACGTGAAGCCCCCCTACAGGAAAATAATTAAATACAAATTAAAATACCATTCTAAAGATGATAATGATAAAAAATATGCACGCTTGCGAAATAAAAAGCTGAATTTCAATCTGTTTAAATGAAATTGGAAAATTATAAAAAGATTGTTAAAGTTGATCTAAGTATATTTCAAAAATATTTTATAAAATGTTTATCAACTAGAAAGCACTAACAATGAATATCAATTAGACACAAATTACATAAATTGATGAAATGCGTCATAAAAACTTTGATCTCCAAATTCATCTAGCACCAATTTTTCTAACAACCCCAGAAAACAGTTGACCTCATTAAGGACTGTCAGGAAGAGTGTTCTATTATAAAGGGAAAAAATGATATTTTCCCTGTAATTATCAAGAATGATGGCAGTGAGGGGAAGACTGGTATGAAGACCCAATCAAAACTATTAAACTGGTATGTAGCTTAATCTCAGGCTGAAAACTAGCTGCTTTTGCTTTCCTCAGTGAAATAGATATCCCACAATTACAAATTGATAATTTGTAAGCTACAAATCGTTNGTTGACTCTCAGGAAAGAACTTAAAAATTACGACAATTCCCTTTAACTATCGACTAATACTCAATGATAAAAGGTTTCCTAATGGCTAAGATTCAAAGTCTCTAGATGTCAAGATGTCTGCTCAATATCTTACTGATAGTTTAAACAAAGAGGGGTTGAATGAGTGTTTTTCACTGTTATCTTTTAGAGTGATAAGAATTACAGCTTGTACACCAAACCATACCTGAGATAGAGTAGTCTGAAAGATAGCATAAAATGCTCGTGTCAAAAGTAACGTACTAACGATAAATAGTATTTAGCTTTCTTACGAGTTCAGTCTTTATTGATAGAGGGAAAGAAAAAAAAAACGACGCCAGTGAAGAGCCTTCCATTAAGATACTAAACTAATTAGCCAAAGAACAATTTCCCTTTAAAATAGGAACCTATCCAAAACTTTTTCACGAAGTAAATAAGTTATTTTTGAACACCGAAAACGGTAAACTTGAACGTTAAGTTATTGGGAAGTACTTAGTAAAGCAGTGGAATAGAACAAAAAGAAACGCACTACGCAACTCCACACACAATCTTTGAAACACCTTTAAAAATTTGAAAATAAATATATAAACTTTAAATGGAGTTTTAACTTACAACATTTTAATATTACACATAGGTTACTTAATTAGATAAATGAAAAAGACAGTTTAGAATTCTGCTGTATGATATTTTATCCCTCAGACAGAGTGCTTTTTCACATTTAAGTTTTTAGATTTGGTATATCAGACTAGATTCCTTACGAATGCCAAATTAAGCACTATTGAACAAATTACATAAATAAGACGCTTGTGGGGGCTTGGATGCCGACGATGTCAACCTTCAATTGAACAATTCAAGTATTTTCATCAAACTGATACTAGAAGAAAGTTGATACATTTTTGTGTAATCAAATTTCAGTAATAATTGTAATAGTAAAATTTTACGATTACAATCCATACGCATTTGTTTTCTTTACAATTACATCCCACATATTTTATTGAACTTGAAATAATTCAACGGGTAACTGTGTATATTTTTAACGTTAATTTGAAATGTATATTTTGAATTGACGTAATATTTTATTATTTCGTTTGAAATAAATTAAAGCGAAAGAAACCTAATTAAATCAATTATTTTAACTCTTTGAAAAATTCAATTCAATTTAAGAACACACATTTACGCTTTACATAAAATAAGTCTTACTTGCTGTAAAGCAAACAATTAGGGATTTAATTTTCTCTGATTTCTAATTAGCGAATATAGAGTACTTTCTCTTAGAATAAATAAGAACATAACAATCAATTCCTATTTTTTTTAAATGTAGAAGATTTACAACAAAATTGCAGAAGGGAAGACTTTAAACGCAGAAGATAGTACGTGTTTTCAAATTTAATTCCTTTTTTAAAGAATTAACTATGTAGTTATTGAAACAAACATTCTTTTACAAGTGGAATACAGTGTTTTAACACACTAAGTTTAAATAAACCCGAAATAGGAGAAAAACGTGATCCCTTATTTAGTTTTATTTTGCATTAATTTATGACCAACAATATCGATTAGTCTGAGAAACAGTGCAAGATCAAGCTGTCATTGTGTGAGCAAGACAGGAGAACCTATCTTCTCATACGTATGAGTAAATATATAAGTAGTTCTAAGACGGTACAAAATATTAATGCATATTTTCAAAATGCCTGAGATTTGAGGCTCTGAGTAGAAAGGATGAAAATGGCACATAAATGCAGAAAGCTGCTGCAAAATGCAGAAGAGTTGACAGCTATGTAAGGATATTCAAATATTACATTTTATCACGAGAAAATAAGATGAAAATCATAATAATTCGAAACAAAAATGATCAACTTTACAAAAGTCTTTTAGGTTTCCTTTTTAAGACTTCTGAAAAACAAGTCGTAAATAATCAGTTTAAAAAGAGTACTCACCTATGAATTTTATAGCTTGAGGAAAAAACGTTGATAAGTTTTGCGACCAATGATCCTGGATTGGGATCTGCATGTATTTCATTCCGGACCCAGTTTTTTCAAATGTATTTGGCAAGTTAGGGGTCACATTCAAAACATAATGGATGCCATACTTCTCAAGGGCTGACCAATCTGAGGAATCACTAGCGTTTCCTAAATATAGATTTGGCAAGATTTCTACAGGAAACGGCGGAGTTCCCACGGAACAGTCTCCTATTCCACTATCTGGATCTGAACGACGAGTGTCCATCACAGAACTTATTCTTAAAGCCATTAGTCCTAGTATAGATTCTTCAGATGATTCTGATTCACACCATTCTGGATACAGTGCTTTGAAGTTGTTGAAGCCTCCTGAAATCAAAATATGGGTGAATCTTAGAGATAAAGATACTAAATCGAAATACTTTTATGTATTATCTGATTGCAAAAATAATCTCAGGGATGGCTTAACATTAAATTATATCAAAAAATGGGGTTAAAAAAAAAAAGAAGAAACAGTTTGGAAATTTACCCCTTTCAGAGTTAGGTACGACATTATTTGAGCCTTATAGAATACTTTGGGGGAGGGGGGCAATATTCAATCCATAGATATTGTGAACAATTTTTTCATATAAATTTGGAACCATCAACTTACGTCCACATTTACATATGTCTCGGTTATTGGCAATTTACCTTTTTTATTAATGTTAATATTGCTTTTATAAGAAATTTTCATCAATATTTGTGGCAGCGTAGTGTACGCATTTATTAAGCAATTATTTATTTACTTTGTTCTTGCAATTATAAAACTTTATTTGTATTTATTCATTTAATTGCAAATTTAAAAAAAAATATTTTAAATGCAATTTGTAGTAATTAATCTTAAATTTATACTAAAGTTTGTCCCAAGATAATTCTAGTAATTTTCTCAATTTTGTTTTCGGTCCCATGTGTCTACGCTTAATTTATATGAGTGCTTTTTTTTCGTCGAATGTATTCCAGTCAAAAAATGCACAATATAGGTAATATTTACTAAAATGTTACTGTGCTTTTCTTAAGGACAAGGTATTTCACTTGCGTTAATTTATATTCTGATTGCGTTATTGTAAAACTATTAGCAGATTCTCGTGCAAGGATGTATTTGAAGTATTATTACTGTCTCAAAAATCGTAAAAAATACTTACGGTAAGAATCTGTTTTAATGCAAGTTATTCAAAATGACTTCATAAAAACGAAGAAAAAGAAATGGAAGATTTGAGAAGAAGAAAAAGTTTTTTTTAGGTAATAAGCATTCGTTTATAAATATTTTTTTTTTTAGTTATTAATGAAAATAAAGAGATTTATAAATAAATGCTAATTACCGAAGATCAACATTTCAACTCTTTACGAATAGACTAAACAGCTTTCCAACTATTTATGATCATGAAAAAGCTAATGTAACCCAAACAAATAAAAATATTAAGCTTTTAATCGAGTCCCAAAATGATCAAAAAATGGAAAGTAACGTAACCAATAAAATAGAAAATAGCTCAACGAAATATTTTTACAAGATTCCTAAATATTTAGTTATTAAACACCATAAAACAGATTACAAAGAAGCCATATACTTCACTTACGTTTGTGCTATAGCTTTACAGCAGGATAAGAAAATTAAATGTAACATTTTTTCTGATATTTTTTTTTTAAAGGAAGAAAAAAAAAAAGAAACAGGATCTAAATGTTCGCTAAACAGACGATAGTGGCGGATGTAAAAAGGTATGTGGGGAGAAAAATAAGGGATTGTTTAACAATAGGCCATGCTCCCCCATAACAGACAGTATGTTACGCGCAATCACCCCTCCCTCCACAGTGAGCATGGTGAGCATGTGATTCTACAATCAGTCAGAACTGTTGCTTTTGTATATATACACCTGTTTCCGTTTTGAACATATTTCCGATTGGACAGACATAGCATACCAACTGTTTCACTTTTACTTACAGTTTGTAAATCTAGTAGAAAGGAGACCGTCCTTTCTGCAATCATAAAACTTTACTAAACATTTGCTTTTTATGATGAGCTTTTAAGGACATTAAAAATGAGCAAAGGAACACAATAGTAAAAATCCCTCCGAAATCGTAATTTAAAATAAAGTTATCCTCCTTTTTATTGAATTTGAAGTGTAAATACTAAAGAAAAACGTAGTTGAAAGATTCAAATAATTAGAACCTATTGTTCATATCTTGCATATTGGCTGGTTTTAACTAAACACACAAGGTGCTTTGAATCAGTTGGACTGCCAGAACTTTCATTTTTACTAACTGATAATATTTCCCAAGTATAAGATCCTCCCCTACATCATCAATAAGCTTTTTTATATTTAACCAATTATTGAAATAAGCTTTAACTGCAAGAGACTATCCAGAAATTAAGGATTTCAGCTCCGAAGAAAAAAATATTAATTTTGAACGTATTCTCACCACATTCATATTTCAAAGAAGCCAGAAAATCATTTGTGAAGTCAAACCTGATTAATAGAGGGAATCGTTGTCTGTTTAGATAAATTGTAATAGTAAAAAAAAAAAAAAAAAAAAAAAAAAAAAAAAAAAAAAAAAAAAAAAAAAAAAAANAAAAAAAAAAAAAAAAACGACAGGTTAGTTAAATTATGATTTAATAACCAGACTTTCCATATTAGCTTGCATAGTTAATGTATTGGATATGTTACCGACAAAATTTGAAATCCGGGATTCTATAGAATGCTCAGGCATTGTATATAATGACTGCATTATATATAATATATGAAACGATTCATATTTCACACATTTCCTAACCATTCTGTAGAATGTAAAATGAGAAACCGAAGAAGTATGAAATACATCTCGTTTCGACTGTAATGAAATTCAATCCACAATGCTACTCAAGCCTAATATGTTGTAACAAGTAGGTTAATTTTAATTTCTAATTTCTTATATGAAAATTTGTTTCCCTTAATAAGAAAGGCAAAAATTTTGCTTCGTTCAATTTTAATTTTTCGTAACGTATTTTGAATAATTTTTTTTAATGACACTCTCATTATTTTATCAAAATAACATTTGTCTTTTTGTGGAATTCACGTCTTTTCATAATAGCCTTATCAGGATCTTTTATCACTTCGCCTTAATAGTATGTCAATCTATAGAAGGCCTAAGTATTATATACAATACCTAAGAAAAGTATGTAATATTTCTTCTGTATGTTATAAAAGTTTTAATAATGCCTAGGCATTCTGTAGAATGCCGGCTTTTGAGTGTAACACCATACATTATTTAAAATGCAGAAAAGTTTTTTTTGTATATTGCATTAATTATAATTATTTGTTAGAATTAAGATAAATATCAATATACTATTGATTTGACTTAAATCGAAATTATTTAAGATGAGCATTGCTTCTAAGCAACACAACTTAGATATATTCCTTTTTTAATTTTTTTTTCATTCGCAACTAACACAGTAACGCTGCTTTTCTATTAAGTACTATTTTAATTGTCGTTTTCACATCCATTTGTTGATAAGCGAACATTCTTCGAAAAATTGTCATTTAGGGGTTTGATTAGTAATTTTTTGTTTACCTTTTGTAAAATGAAATAGAAAATATTATTTTATCATCACCACATTTAATCTTTTCAAAAGTTAATATTCAATTATTTTGTTCCATAATTTGCAAACAAATAAATGCTGATGGGTTTTAAAACGATATAGAAAAGTTTCATATGCATAAGAGATGTAAGATCCTCAAAACTAGAATTAGAATTAAATGTAATTCCAGAATAGCGAAAGGAAATAATACAAGTTAATGTTATCAAATATTCCATCTGTGTTTACTTAGCAGCCAGCGCGTCGCCTACCATTTCCCAAAGCGACTAGACTAATTTCCATTTCTGGAAACGCATGGCCAAAAACAAGAGAGTGATCATTTCTCAACTTTATGACCTTGGGGAAGAAAAGAAAAGGAAAAAAAAAAGAAAGAAAGAAAACATCGCGCCACAGATAAGCAAAGGCAGGAAGTACCACTATATAGTTCGTAGATCTCAGTAGAAAAAAAATCCTGACACTGTCTTGAATAGAAAATAGATAGTTTTTGCAAGCACCGGGGCGGTTTTTCTTTTTAGCAAGCATTTAAAAAGGGCTTTTTCCCCCCTCCCTTGCAGCTCAGATATCGGAATGAAAAATTTAGTAAAAACAAACAATGTTTACCCAGTATAAACTCACGAAGTTAGATAAGAAACTACGTACTGAATAATAACGTTAATTAAATACGAAGCAAGCAGGAAATTACAAATTAGAAAAGCTGCCTCGCCTTGATAAAAAAGATTCTTTAACCATAACTGCAAAGTGATAATAGAGATATTTAAGAATTTTATGTAAGAGTATCTTTATTTTATTCTGTCTTTATTTTTCTGAAATGAGATATGGAACTCATTTTAACGGTTTTTTAAAAGCTAATTTAAGGAAATCAAGATTAGTATCGATGAAAAAAATAATTTATTCGTAAGACTAATTTTCTTAGTTTAAGAGTTGTATGTCAAAAAATTCTTTCTTAATACATATGTATAGAGAAAGAGGTATTGCAAAGAGAGGATTTATTTCAATAACATAATTTCTTAATTTGTTTAAATCAGAAAAAATATAACTCCAAATTTAAACGAAATGTAACAGTATCCATTTACACGCAGTTATATCGAAGTCGATTAACTCGCGAAAGTAATATAAGAAATTTTATCTTGCTCTGATCTATAGCGCCCCTGAAAACTCCAATACTCCCACGCAACGCGGGGGCGGTATTTACGTCACAGAATAAACGGGTGGGTGAGGTCTTATATTATTCAGTTTATAATTCATCAAAGAAGTCAAAAATCAAAACCTTTTTAATCGATTAATTCCATAGCTATATTTTTGTAAGTCCTTTTTTTTTTAACAATAATTACTGTCTGTTCAAAGAAATATACTACGTTTTCTAAACTTATAATGTTTCAAAACTAATGACTATTTCTTTTTAAACTTCAAATCCCTCGTCTTTGAAGCTGAAGGGCAAAAAATAGGTAGGGCTGGGTGGAAGTTAGACCCCACATCATTATAACTTTTTACATCCCCCGCTTCTTCCTCCAGGGCTTCACCAACTTCCTGCCTACTTCATTCTGACCCAAAGGGAATACCTGAAATACATCCTGTTATAATACAATTCTTAAAAAGGGAGGAAGGCAGGCAGGAAACACGTGCTTGTTGGGACAAGTAAGAGCAATATTGGGAAGAGGACGTTTTATTTTAATATTTTTTTTTCAATAAGGCTTTTGCTTAGATCATTTATTAAAATTGCGTACATAATGTATAACTTAACAATAAATTAAAGTTATATTTCCGAAAGAAATAAAATTTTTACAAAACTCTTTTATTATAACTGTTTGATAGCCCGTAAATTTTTATCTTTTAATCTCTTCAATACCACATCACTTTTTTTTTTTTTAGAAAATTAAATAGAGGGGACAATAAATCCTGTAAGCTATGCGACAGAGTGAGATTTGTGGGAAAAGGGGTATCCATACCATAGAATAAGTAAATATTTAAAATATAGTTACGTTTATCGAACTCTTTCACATATTTAGAACGTTTTCATGACAAAAACGGAATAAAATGATTATTAATTGACTAAAAACTATCATTAGATGCAATAAGTAAAAATTATGTTGGGAGGAGAAAGTTTAAAATTATGATTCTATAGTAGAGTGTACTTGTATTGCTACAGTATAGATTTTAGAAGCAAAATTTTTCTTTGTATTTCTCTTAGGTAAAAATACTTCATTAAAACTGAAGTTTAATGCAAAAACAAAGTCAAACTTAATAAGAAAAAAAAATAGGATTCATCTATTTAATATCAAAAACTATTTACTGCAATATCATTCAAAAATTTTAAAAACTAAAGTCCCAACTTTCTGAAATTTTCTCATGTTCGTCATATTAATATCCGCATGCACACTGAGAAATAATGCATTGGGGTGAGCATTAAAATAAACCATATGGTTTAAGTTTAGGAATGTTAATCTTAAAGGTGAGATATGTTTTGATTTTTATAAATTATCGATTGCGGCGATTTTTTTTATTCAAAAATTTTTATCTAGGAAAAAATCTCTGTATTTAACATTAAAAACCAACCATATATTGATTAAACATAGCATAAGAAATTAATAATTTACAATACGCACGTATTAATGCGTGGGTAGTTAGTATGAAAAGATGACGCAGATTCTACCCACGGATGTTGACAATATATTTTACCATCAGTCATTTAAAACTATAAATCAAGCTATATTTATTAAAATTACATTAAAAAATATTGACATTTATGCAAATATCTACAAAAAAATTTACATAGGATGTAAATAAACATGTGTTTCTTAGATTATCTTTATTAGGTATAGCAATAATTGTAAGGTATTTAAGGGGTAAATTATAAATTTAATCAAAATAAGAAGTTAAGATTAAGTACTATCAGTATCTGGGTTAAATACTATCAGTTTAGTACTAAGTACTATCAGTATCTGGGTTAAATACTATCAGTTTAATATTTAATTACAAATAATTTATATATACATAAAAAAATTCAATATTTCTATCTTTTTTCCTATCTTTCAGTACAATTGTATTTAAAAACATATAAATGAATCTGGCAGATTATATATAACACATTATGTATGTTTAGTGATTGATATAATAATCACAATATAAAGCATAAAATGTTAATTTAAAATCAAATTATTATAAATATACTTACCTTGCAAGGATACAACTTTACATCCTTCGTTTTGCAATCGTAAAACAAGAGTTTCAAATACTCGCGATTTTGTGTCCGAATCAGATTCATATAGTACTAAAGTTGCTTCTTTCCAAACTTTCATAAATTGTTCTTTAGAATCATTATTAGCAATCAAACTGGACACTTTGACTTTACCATTAGCAAGTCTTCTTAACATGATTATAGAAGCTGGCAAAGTTAAATTAATCGCTCCTCTGATGTGAGATACGGCAAAATCTGTATGTGTACGGCAATCGACTAATAGAAGAGGAGCCGATGTTAAATTTTTCATGGAATCTGCAACATTTTCAGCAGAAATTGATTGAATCATTATTGTTTGATCCTCAACAAAGTCCCGGGACGGCATAATATCTTTCAGCTTAGGCCGAAAGGAAAGATGTTGAACTGAAAACAACAAAAAACGAAACCACTTACAGCATAACTTGAAACACGTCTTATCGTCAAAAACTTCACCGTTCGATACTGGATGTCAATAAGCGGGAATAAGCCTTGAATTTCCTCTACTACTATACTTACGATGGCGCTTTCTCATGAATGTACGAGCACTCGTGACCTCTAACCAATCACAGAGCTTATCCGCCTTGTGATGTCATCAGAAAACTCCTGCGTGTGTGACGTCAATGACAAGGCTACTCTGCGACACTCAAGAGTGAAAATAAAATAGAATAAAAGTGTTTAGATTCTAAATAAAAGAAAAGTTTTCCACATCGTTTACGTTTTGCATCAACCGGAAAAACTCACTGAGGAATATTACAGGATGCGTTTAAAAATGGGAAGCTTGAGCTTTTAGAATGATATCAAAAACAGCCTCTGATTTCGCAAGCGACAGTAGAAAGACTTGATTCATAACTATTGGTTGAGAAGTAATCAATGAAACGGGAAAAGCTTTACGATAAAATGAAAGAATCTTGCTATGCAGTTTTTTCTGACGGAATTTTAGAAAAATATAAATATGAGTTTCAATGCAATTTCGTGTTTTTTATTGATAATATTTATATTTTTTGCTTGTTTTTGAGGGAATTATTAATTTTTACTTCATTAGATTATGAAAAAAAATCAATATAATAAATAACAACGTTTATTCATACGTTTATTATTCAAATTCATACGTTTATTATTTCATTCTAATAACGCTTAGAAAATGTTTTAAAAATTAATTAATTTGAAAGAAAAAAGTAGTAAGCTAATGTAGATAAAACATTTTGTTCTCTAAACGGTAGGCCTTTTTATTCACAGTAAGATTAATAAAAATTAAAAATAAAAGTAGCCATGTAAAAAGTAGCCATGTAAAAGTAGCCAAATAAAAGTNTATATATATATATATATTTTAAATACAAAGCAAAAAGAAACCTTAAATTCTGATGAGTTGTACATTTTTAATCTATTGAAATAACAAATCACAAGACTAGTTAGATTATAATGTAAAATTTAATTTATAAAAACCTACCTATTTAATACGTTATTTCACACTTAAATATAAATAATACTTTGGCATAAAAATGTAAAGAATTTATCGATGAATTTCGTCCATTTATTTATTTTTACAGTAGTTACCAAATACTTACAGTAATAATAATTGAATATATATATATATA